TCCTTCTCCAACTCATTTTACAGATGAGGAAACTGAGGCAAATGAGGTTAAATGACTTGTTCAAGGTCATAAAGCTAGTAAATGTTTGAGATCAGATTTGAACTCAGATCCTCCTGACACGACTTTGGGATAGAAAATAGATAAGAAAAAGACTTTGTTTTTTCACTCCTAGATGAGGAAACCACATTGACCAGTATAGATCTGAGACTTTTCTTACAGGGCTACCTAGAGCACAAAAAGGTTAAGTGACTTGCATAGGATCACACAGCTAGCATGAGTCATAAATTCAAGTCTTAGATTTGAGGCCAGGTCTCTATGCATTATACCATGGTGCTTTTTATATCTAAATGTCTCTGCCTCAATAATATATATATATATATATATATATATATATATATATATATATATATATATATATATACACATACACACATGCATGTTTCATATATATATACATATATATATTCATATATGTGTATATTATGTATATGTGTATTTCTGAGAATAATGTAGATCAGGGAACTGCTTCACAGATGAAGTAGAATTTAGACTAAGGCTTAAAAGCCAAGCACTCATTCTATCAATTTACTTATTCCATGTATGAACTTGGGTGAGTCACAACCTTTCTGTGCCTTCATTTCTCTATCTATAAAATGAAGAGATTATACTAAATGAACATTAAGGTCCCTTCCCACTATAAAAGTGTAATCCTCTGATCTCTGAGAAATTCATCTTTTCCAAAAATATGCAAAAAGTTGCCTTCTCAATAGTTCTTCAGATGGCAAACATTTACACACATCTACCTTGTATTCACAAAGACCACGTGAAGTAAAGGCAGTAGCTGTTCCTTTCTCCTTTGTTCTCCTCTTACCTTTACTTTATATTCTTAAAAAAAAAAAACCTTGCCACCCATAACTCTGTATTCATTCCTTAATATCCTATCATTTCTTTTTTTCATTTCTCTGATACAACATCATTTGAAAATCTTTGAAGAACTGAACAGGCACAAACATTTATTCTCCAATTTAGATCACTTAAACATAGGCTGCTCCCTTTCTTGATTCCAATTTCTTAATCTTTTTTCCCATCCTTATTCTCTCTCTCTTTTTTTTTCCATTCCATGTACTTATTCCTATGTTTATTCCTAGAATGTACATTCATTTAGAAACACTCTCAGAAAAAGAATCTGGTCGGATTTTCTGCCATCTGGCCTACCTATTTAAGATCTGGCCAATACGATTGGCCAGGTCTCAGATTACACATCAGTTCTGGGTTTGGGACAACCAGACTGCATTTGACTCAGGCTTTTCTCCTCAGGATTCAAACCAGTTACATGGTCCCACTGCTGTTATTTTAACTGTTCTTTCTTTCTCTCCTTGATTACCTTGAAGTTCTGGAACGATCTTTCCACTTTCATAGTTTACATTTCAATAGAAGTGTTCCTTTTATTCAGCCCATGTTTCTTGATTTATTCAAGAAGCTGGTACCCATATGGAAATGTAGAGACAGGAGGAATCCTTAGCAGGGGTTACTAATACTTTGTCATTTAAAAGACTATAATGTTATTTCATAAAAAGTTTTATGAGATGGCTTTGGAGGATGATCTGTTGAGTACATCATAAAGAGGCATTTTTAAGTGAGTATAGAAATGACCTTATTTCAGTTATTGTTATGAGAGGTCCTTCTATGGTTCACCCTAGTACTTTTCTGACAATTCTACATCCTGTATCACTTTGATCTTTGGAAGAGAGGAATTAAATAAAAATTGACAAAAGAAAGATGGCATTTTACTGAGAATGGTTTAAAAAATAGTAAAGAACATTAAAACTATTCAGAAAACCTAATACATAAGTAATGAAATAAAGTGTAATTACAAAAGCCGATAGTGGCATAGGGGCAACTGTCAGCTACCCCAGGCCTTGATAGTAAGATGAAAGCTCTGTCAGGTTTTACCGAGCTAGAAAGTATTTGAGTGCAGTTTTAGAAGCAGATTTTGTCTCTTCTCCAAAGACTAGTTTTAACAGGATGACTTTTAACTCCCAGCACTCACCTGCTAATTCATCTCAGAGATGTAAGACACCATTAAATATGATTTAGGAAAGAAAAACCTTGAGTAAATGATTAACCTGTTCTTTAAAATTTAGAGAATGACTTGGAAGAGTTTAAAATTGTCATGTATTTAGTCTACAGATAGTCTAAATCAGTTAATTGACATGCATTTATTAAGTGCCTGAAATATACTAGTTACAGCGCAAGGTCCAAGAGACTCACAGAAAAAAAATGAAACAGGCCCTGCCCTCAAGAAATTTATGTTCTGTCAGTGGTATCTTTACCATTTTTTTTGTTTGTTTGTATGCTGTGTTATTTGTTAACTTTCATACCTGAGCCTGAGCAAAAAGCTCTTTGTCCAAACTGTAAGTAACTCTATCTACGTGGGTAACAACCATCCATGTGCAAGTGTAGGCCTTTATCTCTAAAAATTAACCAAATAAAAAAAGCAGACTTAACTCCATCTTCTCCCTCCACCCAACCCTCTCCCATTCCCCCTTGCCCCTCACCAAGGTCTTGAGTAAAGTATCACTTATTCTGACATTAAATCAAGCCCTTCCTTGGTATGAAACATCTAGGTAGCACAGTGGATAGAACACTAAGACTGGAGTCAGTAAGACTTGTGTTCAAATCCAATGTCAGACATACACATAGACTGGACGAGTTAGTTTCCTCAACTGTGAAATGGGGATAAAGGCTATCATAGTACCTGTCTCACAGAGCTAAAGGAGATAAATATGTAAAAAAAAAAAAAACCTTAGCAAAATGCCTGGCACATAGGAAGCACTATATACATGCTTATTCCTGTCTTCCCTTCCCTCAGTTATCAGCCAGTCACTACCCCAGGACTTTTGAGCTGTAGATTTGACAATGATACAAATTATCCCCACTTCCCCATGATTAAAATGATGGTAAATCCAAAGCAAGATTAAGAATTGAGCAAAATAATGGGAACATTGTAACAAGTAAGAAGATGGAGTTTCTTCCATATATAAGGGAGAGGCATGAGTTTTTGTCAATGAGTTATTGCTGTCTCTGTGACCCTGCATACATACCACTTATACTAGATGACACTTATACTAGTGAGATCTACAGCAGGCTCCAAACCAGAGATACTGTGAGCCTGGAAGGTCACACCTGAATTTGGAAATATTCAGGACCATAATCAACAGCCATGTACCTTAGCATGAGAGTAAAGGCCAGCAAAATACTCCCCAAAAATTAATTCCAAAAAACTGCTCTACAGATACACAAATTTTTATAAGTAGATTCTGATGTGATTTCAAACATATCACAGAACTGCCCATTTAGAAAGTATTTTCTCCTAAATGATGGAGAGACAGACAGGCAAGCTGAATCACCTTTACTGATTCCATTAAGCCTTACAAGTACCTTAATATAACATTCTAGTTAAGTATACTGAGCAAAATGCTCAAGATTGGGCCCTAAAAGATACAATCTTTGGCAAAGGGGACTCAAAATAGGTACAATTTTAAAATGATCCAGTGTTCCCCTTCAATTTTTGATAGTGATAATGGAAAAGTGGTAAAAAGGGGAAAACACAGTACTAAATGGCAGACAATTTTTAAACCATTTATACTGAGGTTTGGTGTTCTCAATGGTGTTCACTGAACAAGAAGTTAATATATTATTGAGTTACATTCACACTGTCATCTTAATCAAATGAAACCAAAAAAGACATAAAGACATTACATCTAAATGGAAGAGTGACCAGTATGTTTTTTTTTCCCCTCAGAAAAGCAAATAAAGGAATTGACAGAGCTTTTTTCAATGGGTGTGCAAAGGCAACATAAAATGTAATTTGATTGGCAATTTAGTCATCTTGCTTTAGACAGTTTACAGAATTATAACTAATAGAGAGTGACAAGGTCATCATCCCAAAACACTGACAGCTGAAGGGACAGTGGTTCTTTTCATAGTAGGGTTATAGACCATAATCCTACTTCCTCACTCAGCCACAGTCATAATTCCCTACATCTCATTGTAATATATCTCCCCTCTCCCTTCTATCTTTACCTTTCCGGCTTTTGGGAGATTGGGAGCTCTGAGGTCATCAGCCTGGTGTATGGATATATTCTGGGCTCTCTGGTACGCAAGATGCCCCCTCTACTGGCACAACTATATCCATCATAAACTGTGCTTGCTGTTGAAACCCCTGCTCTCCTAAATTGAATTATCCCCAGGCATAAGAATGTTTCCAAGGTCCGGCTCTGTTTTTCATGATAAAATAAGCAAACAGAAAACTGAAGATAATTACAATTTATGCACCATCTGTTAAAAATGATGAAGTAGAGAAATCGTTGAAGAACTTAGTAAAATCTTCCTAGCTAAATCAATCTATACATTGAAATTCAGTGACTTCAGTGCAAGGGTGAGCCCATTGGAGGACCATGTAATATACATTGAACAATATGATTATGATTTAGGAATTTGAAATCAAGAGGATACAAGCTTCAAAAGATTCATACCTTTATAGTACAAATATTTCCTTCAAGAAGCAAATCAGAAAATGCTTGACATGATAAATTCTAAACAATATCACTGGTTTGTTTGTTTGTTTGTTTGTTTGTTTTTGGAGGAGGCAGGAAGGTCTTATTCATGAGATCTGAAAGGCAATCAGTCCCTTATATTCATTCTCCACTTTTCAGATTACCACATGGTAAGCTTTTGACCACAAAAAAGAGACTAACAGAAAGATCCTATACAGAACTCATATATTATTATTCAAAAATATGATATAGTTAACAGAGTCCCAAAGTTGTGTAAGGAAAGGAAGTTTTCTGCCTCAGGAACTCTCTGGATCTGATGTAAGTCTCTAGGTTAACTCCTCTCTCCACAAAGGGCAAACACAAGAGGCTGCTTGGCCTCTTGTGCTTTTTTGGCCTTGGAACTTCATACCTTATGTGTTGTTGAGGTTTCCTGCTACAGATGAGCATTTCCCAACTCAAAGGGGCTTGATCTGTTGGTGTCTTGGTGATATAGGATAGAGATAGCTGTTCTAAAAGGACAAAGATGATTTATGTGAAATTTTTTATTGGAATGGATTGAGCACTTAGAAGGCAGCTGATTATTATATGCAAGTGGGATATGCTTGGTTACATGTTTGCAAAACTATTTCAACAAGTCAATCAACAACTGTGCTAGGTGCTGGAGATAAAAATACAATAAATGAAATAATCCCTTTTCTCACGGATATTATATTATAATGGGGAAGAGAAAAATACAATGAAGATCTATATAAATACAGAGAATAAATACTCTTCATGCAAAGTAGTTTAAATACAATAGCACTAGAAGGAGATCAAGAAAGATTTCATGCAGAAGATGGTACTTGAGCTATGTTTTGAAGAAAGAGACAAATTCTAAATGTAAAAGTGTGGAGGGAAGGCACTGGAGGTAAGGAAGCAGTCAGGGCAAATATTCAAGAGATGTGTGATGCAGTAGCTGGCAAGGAATCAAGAGATGACTATTTTGGCTGGTTTATAGAATGTGGGGAGGAAGGTATTATCACAAAAAGATAAGGGTTTCACAACACATTTTCTTTTATTTTAAACAATCATGAGCCTTGTACAATGGAACGCCAATTATCTTAACTTCATATTCTAGGAGTTCAGACAGGGTAAGCAGCTGTGATTATATCGTGGTATGGCTTGCTATATGTCAGAATGGATAAAGTGGTCATCTGCTCAGCCTATGACAGTCACAAAATGAAATTGACACTTAATATTTGGACAATGAGTATCTACCACTGCGGAAGTTCTGATTTTATTTTAATTCTACAAAACGAGCATTTAGTGACAACTAAGCACAAGTCAAAGACCAATACTGGGGATACAAAGACAAACTGAAACTAACTCCCTAAATTTAAGAAGCTTATATTCTCCTGAAGTGATACAACATATGTATCAATAAGTCCTTTACTAGGAACATGCTATATGTCATCATACTAGGTGCTGGGATAACCACCAAAAAATTAAACAGTCCAGCCCTGAAGAAATTTATATTCATTCTATCAAGAGAGTGAACTGTGCATATAAGAGAGGGGTAAATATTAACAAATGACTTCCTGGAAACAAAAATATGCACAGAGGAAGCCAAGATGGTGGAGTAGGGGAAGCATTAACACCCACATCTTCCAATATTTCCCCTCAAAACAACTTTAAAATAAAGCCTCAAATAGACTTCTAGAGTGGCACACCCAAAAAAAGTCAGGCTGAAAATTTTTTTTCCAGGCCAAGACAATTTAGGAGGTCAGGAGGGGAAATGTCTTAATAGCAAAGAATTATTTTACAGAGCTAGAAAAAAAAATAACAAAACTCATCTGGAAGAACAAAAGGTCAAGAATTTCAAGGGAATCAATGAAAAAAACTGTGAAGGAAGACAGCCTAGAAGTACCAAATTTTGAACTATATTACAAAGTGGCAATCATCAAAACAACCTGGAATTGACTAAGAAATAAAGTGGTGGATCAGTGGAATAGATTAGTATACAATAGAACTATTAAATGACCATAGTAATCTAGTGTTTGATAAACCCAAAGAAAAAGGCTTTTGGGGTAAGAACTGAACATATGAGAAAAATTGCAGAGAAAACTGGGAAGCAGTTGGGCAGAAACTAATTATAAACCAACATTTTATATTATTTACCTAGATAAGGTCAAAATGGGTAAATTATTTAGACATAAATTAGTAAATTAAGGGAGGAGGGAGAATTTTACCTATCAGATCTATGCGTAAGAGAAGAATTTATGAGCAAACAAGAGATGGAGAGAATCATGGGAAGTAAAATGGGAAATTTTGATAACATGAAATTAAAATAAAATAAAATAAAATAAAAATTTGCACAAATAAAAACAATGCAGCCAAAGTTAGAAGGAAAGCAGGAAATTTGAAGGTAAAATGTATAGTGTTTTCTTGACAAAGTCTTCATTTCTCAAATATATAGGGAACTGCTCTAAATTTATTAAAATAGGAACCATTCTCCAATTGATAAATGATCAAAAGATAAGAACAGGCAGTTTCAGAAGAAGACATCAAAGGTATAATCACATGAAAAAGTGCTCCCATTTGTGTTTCATTTTTTGAAGAGGATCAGTGACATCATGGGGTAATATTTTAACTTGCAAGTGAACTGGATTTAAGTGAGGCTATAAATATTTCTGCACATGCATATATAAAGATATATTCAGGGTAAGCACAAGTTGAAATGTTGGAGAAAAAGATACTAGAAACTACATACAGATATGTGTACAATAATTTGAGAAGGGAGAAAGCTGTCGGTCAATGTGCATTAGTTAAGTGTTTCTTTTATACCTGGTGCTGAACTGAGCACTAAAAATACTAACAGCTAAGAGGCCTGGAGGCCGTTCCCATAGAAGACGGCACTTGAGCTACCTTTGAATCACATGTATTCAGTTAGAGTAGCTACTGAATATAGCAACGATCAAAATTAACAGCAAATGTTTGGCAAAGAGGAAGATAAGCCAGGCTTTAAATCACCTCTTTAAATGAGGGATTGTAGAAAATGAAGACAATGATGTTGAATACAGCTTTTGGTTTGTGAATTCTATCTGTCAAAGTGGCAAAGTGACAATCAAAGGAGATACAATCTTATAATACAAGCTAATTTTCACAGTTCTACAGAGGAGAAAGGTGAAATAGTATGAGTAAGATCACACTAAAAAATACCAAAAAAAAAAGCAGTAGAGGCCAAAATGAGTCTGTAGAAAGCTTAGCTCGAGATATAACTAAGCCAGATGGTCCTAAGAACATTCAGAGATACAAATGGAAAGGTAAAAAAAAGTTGTAAAATGGAACATATTTGGCCATATATCTATGGTGATCTATTCTCCTCATAGATGACAGTGAATAGCGACACCAGATTTGAAATGCTTTGTCACAGTAGCCATTTAGGTGGAGTATTTTCCCCTTACAGAACCTTCATACTAGTTCAGGCCTGCATCATATTTAGCAACACTACTGAAAAAGTCTTCTAATTGGTCTCTCTGCCTTAAGTTTATCCTGCTCTTCTATCTCTTACAAAGTTAACAAAATGTTTTTCTTAAAGCATTGGTCAGACTACTTCATTTGATTGCCATGTTAATCCTCATGGTTCCCCATTATCTCTAGGATGAAATCCAAATGCTGCTGTTAGGCATATTTAGCCCCAACCTGGATCCAAATTAACTTTCCAGGCTTACCGTTTATGTATTCTGTGGCCTAGAGATAATCAAAAGAGTCAAAGATTGAAGAGGAATGGGACTGACTTCTTTTAGAAGGCAGGATTTTATTAGGGACTTAAAAGGAAAGGAAGGAAGAAGGGAGGGAGGGATAGAATTCAGAACTTAAAACTTTAAAAACATGTTTAAAATTGTTTTAACGTGTAATTGGGGGAAAATAATATATTATTTTTAAAAAAGAAAGCAAGCCAAGATTTGGGAGATGAGAAGGGATTCCAGAGGTGGGGGACAGCCAATGGCAAAGCACAGTCAAGAGATTGGGTATAGTATTCAAAGAACATCAAGATGGCCGGTATCACTGCATCACAGAAAGCAAAGTAGGGGTAAGGTGGTAAAGTATGAGAAAATGGTAGCATGGTACCAGGTTACAAAGGGTTTTGAAAGCCCCAAAGAGGATTGTATATTTGATCCTGGAGGTAATAGGGAGCTATCAGAGTTTACTGAATGAGAGGAATGGGGTAACATGGTCATGCAATTAAAGAAAATCAATTTGACAGCTAAGTGAAAGACAGACTGAAATGGGGAGAAGATTGAGGGACTAAGGCTTCAATTGATTCCCAATCAGAAAGATTTTGCAACATCAAAGAGCCTGCGCCAGGCAATAAACATTTATTAAGTGCCTAGTATGTAGTAGGCACTGTGCTAAATGTTAGAGATGCAAAAAAAGGGAAAAGACTGGCTCTGCTTACAAAGAATTTACAGTCTATCAGGGGGAGGAGAAGCATGTACATAAATATGTGCAAACAAGTTTTATACAAGACAAATTGAAGATAATCAACAACAACAAAAAAAGTAGCATTAAGAGAGATTGGAAAAGGCTTCTTGAAGAAGGTAGGATTTTTAGTAAGACTTGAAGGAAGCCATGAGGGTGGCGGCAGTGTTAGAGGAGAGAAGAGGGCATATACAAGAGTTTTCACAAAGAGTAATCAATGGGACTTGATTACAGATTGGAAATCTAGGGTGAAAGAGTAAGGAGGAGACACAGATGACACCTAGATTCTGGGCATAAATGATTAGAAGGATGGCAGTGCTTTTGAAGTAATAGGAAAGTTAGAAAGAGAGGAAGATTTTGGGGAAAAGATATTTTAAGGTGTCTAACAGACATCCAGTTCAAGATGGCAGCTAAGTGGCACAGTGGATAGAGTACCGGTCCTGGAGTCAGGAACACCTGAGTTCAAATCTGGCCTCAGATATAATACTGACTAGCTGTGTGACCCTGGGCAAGTCACTTAATCCCAACTCCCTTGCCAAAAAAAAAAAAAAGATGCTCAATAGGCAAAAGGAGGTTTGAAACTGGAGGTTAAAAGAGAGGTTAGGGATGAATAAGGAGATCTAAGAAGCATCAGCACAGAGATACCTGAATCCATGGGACATAATGAAAATACCATATGAAAGAATATAGAGGAAGAAGAGAAGAGGCCCTAGGACGTTACCATGAGGGACACTCACAGTTGGTGAGAATAACTTGAATAATAATTCAGCAAAAGAGACTGAGGAGAGATTTAATAGGTAAGAGAACAAGGAGGGAATAGTGCCACAATAATCTATAGAGATGAGACTATCAAGGAGAAGATGTTGATCACCTTTGTCAAAGGTCATATCTATCTCCCCCATGTTATATTTAGTTTAATTATTTGAACTCAAGATTAAACATTTATCCCTACTAAATTTCATCCCATTAGCTTCCACACTATGGTCCATACTGTCAAAATCTTTTTCAATCCTTTACAATTTGTGTGAATATTATGTCCATTCCAATCCTGACCATTCAATGTGATATACATGTATGTGTGTGTGTGTGTATATCATATATACACACACGTACCTATGTGTGTAATGCACATATACATATATATATATATACATATATATACATATATATATACATATACATATGTAATGTATAAACACACCACTTCCTTAACTTTGTGCCATCAGCCATTTTCATAAGCATACCAAATATTAAACTATTCAGGGCCAAGCATAGATCCTTAAGGCACTTTGCTGGAAAACATTTTCCTAAACTGTTATTAAACAACTAATCACCACTTTGGGGATTCAGTGACTCAATAGAAACAGATTATTCAACAAAAAACATAAAAATATTATCTTCTAAGATACATCTCTCCATCTTCTCTATAAGAATACCATAAGAAACTTTATCAAATGCTTTCATAAATTCTGTGTAGTCTGTGCTGGCATCAAAGTAATTTAAGGGAGACTCATCCAAAGGCCAAAGTACTGACTTAAAAGAGGTTAGGGATGAAAGTAAATTAACCCTAAGAAACATATCAAAGACCTTCAGTGGGACCTGGTGACTGGAGAGCTTGCTACTGAGTCCTCTACATGTAGGGTAGACTTCTTGAAGCTGGAACAACAGCAAGTATACCAGTAAAAAAAAAAATTGGGGCTGTTGTCATGAAGAAAAAACAATGCTTTTCATGGGCAACTAATATAAGGAGTAGAGTAATGAAAACAAAAAAGGTGCTTTTCATTAATGAAACTCACTTTTTCATTCAAGGCTATACTAAAACAATTTGCAGAAAAAGTCTCAAAGAACAAGACATCTTCATAAGATGGTAAAGATCCATTCAGAAAAATGTTTGTGGACTGTTTTTAACATTTAGTCAGCCTGTAATTAATGTGCCAATGAGGAAATGATTAATTTTGATAAATATCAACATACTGTAAAGATGCATTATTCCAAAATTAAAGAAATATCCAAGTACAAAAAGCATGATCTTGCACTATATCATACAGCATGAAAGAAGAAGAAACGTATCAAAGTAGGGATAAATTTCCTTCATTGACTTGGGAACCAAGATGATTTTAAACACCATTGAAAACTTGTGGGCTATAATCAAGGAAAAATGGACTTTTCTTCAAAGATATGCTTATTATCAAATGTGATGTGTGATTTCATGATGAGTAATCAAATATATGTGAACATATTGAGAATTCAATAACAGATTATGCAAAATAAATGAATGCAGCAAAAGAAGAGATATTATACTTTAAAAGTTTTTTAATATGTAAAAAAGTTTAAGTTTTATGATAGAAGTCAATAAAGTTGCTTATTTCTATTTTGTTTCTTCCATTGTGCACAACATAAAGGTGTACATTGGGCTTGATTTACGTGTCTGGGAAAAAAAAAGAGGGTTTGGGTTTTTTATATATTACTTTCAGAGTTATTCTATCTCCCCATCTACATTTTAAGTTTACTTAATGGGGGAAGCTTTGCCTTCCATGCTGTTTGTATCCCATCCCAGTGGTATAGTCTTCTCAATGTGGCTGGGCCTTAAGAAAAGCTATTTGCCAGAAATGTACCTAGCACAGGAGGAATAAGGTTTTGTTTCAGGACACTGACATTCTCATGGGCACATATCCTTCCTGGGAAAGTTCACTTCTTCCCTCACTGTCATGTCTATACTTCACTATACAGTACTCCAGTGGTCTATGCTGACCTCCCTCAAAATATATACAACATACACAAAACACCAAGGTACCATTGACATGGTTCCCTTCTCCCAGGGTCAGCCTTCCTTTAAAACCAACCTTGAAGATAGAACCAGATAATCCAGGGGATGGGCTATACTTTCTCTCAATGCAATCATGCTGTCCCCTCTCACTCAACTAAAATGGTCCCACTTGTAATAATCCATTTATGGCTCACTGATATTTACTGCTTTTTATGATTTATATTTGGCAAGGATAGGATTTTTTTTGGGTTTTTTTGCATTTCAGATTCAATAAATGCTTTGGATCATTGATTTGTGTAATGTTTCTCCCTCCAATCACACTTTACCTATGCGTTAAAAAGTGGAATTTTTTTAAAAGCATAATTCTGTTTTCACTATTATTCTGAAAAGGGGAGAACACTTGTTTATAGGCAATATGGAAATGCTTATTTATTATTATTATTTCAGAATGTGGGTAATCAACTAGTTAATTTTTCATCAAGAATGAACATGATAGCACTTCCTTATGGCACTAGTATTCAGGGGAAATGTAATTATAGCTATGTAACAGGTATTTTGTGTTTTGCTGAAGGAGGTGTATTACATATTTCTGGCACTAAATAGGTTCCCCACAATGGAGCTGTGATCTCATCAATGTTGGTTATTTTTTCCCTCCAACATTATAGTATAGTGCAGGTTGCAGGCTATCCACTAACTGCTTATTTTGTATCTCATTTGTACCTTTACTCCACAGAGTAACTAAATTTGTGACATACTGCTGGTCTTGAATGAATAGAACTTTCCATTCTATATCCTTCTTAGTAACTCAGTCAACAGAGAAGCAGAATTTGCTTCGAACACAATCAGTGCCTTATAGCCTTTGAAAGTCAAGCCTTTAATAATCAAATGCAAATGAGCCTTTTAATCTCAATATTCTGGAAGCATTCTGTAATGAAATTCAAATGGTCCCTACTTGCCTGTGACCTAGCTTTGCTCCTCAGGAGGCAGGCTTCACATACATCAATAGTTAGAAAACTGTCAGTTATGCAAAGGTTTCTTTTTATTGGGCCACCTGGGAAGAGGGAGCTTTCCTAAAGAGAATGAAGGTTCAGTGGATGCAGGGAGAGCAAAATGTCTAATCCTTAAATGCCTCTAAAGAGCAGTCTTCTAGAAACAGAATGGAGTTTGAGGTACAAAGTTAAGAATAAGGTAACCTACTGACTAATCAATATAAAATCTGTTGCTTCCATCTCCTAAAATTCGCAACAAATTTTCCTTGGATGGCAAAAATAGTAGTATTTAATTTTATTTTTTTATAAATACTTTGACTATTTTAATAACCACCATAATTAGTGAGGATATTGTGGTTCAATGGAACTCCCAAGACCTCAGTGTAAGCCCTAGTTCTACAACTTTTCAGTTAGCTGCATGACCCTTATTGTTTGAATGATTGTTTGAACTACTATTCTGGTCAGTAAAAGAGATATAACAATATATACATTATCTACCTCATAGATTTATTTTGAGAATTAAATAATCTAAAAAGATGTTGAAATTGTAAGGTACTATTTAAAATGTGTTATCTCATAAAAATAATTGATAAGATAATATATATTTTAATATAATAAAAATAACTAATAAAATAATGTAACAATAAGAAAAAGATAATATATTAACTTAGTGCCTGGCACATAGTAGATATTTAATAAATGCTTGTTTCTTTCCTCTTCCTATATCACTATTTCATTATTTCAATATCTCAGGGTTCTAAGTGATGTAAATAGTCACTCTATCAGGGCAAATCACAACCCATCCAGGTTTTCTTATCATGTATGATTCTTTTACCACATAAATTTAGTAGAGAAGGCACTCAAATTTCTGGAAACCTTCCCATGAAAATCTCAGTCTTTTTCCCATTTTTACCAGTGGAACACATGGACTATCCATAGAGTATCACTACATTCTCACACATACCAACTTACCTCCTTTTTGATAATGTGTTTCCTTCCTAACCACTTCTTGTTCATAGATCAGCATTGGAAATGATCTCCTCCTGCCATTCTCCTCTCCAGGGCCCTTTTGGTCATCCACAACTCTGATTCTTTAGAGTTCATGGGATTTCAGGATTTCCAATCATCATTCCTGGAAGGCATGTTAAAAAAAAAAAAGGGAGACATATTCAAAAGATGTGTGTGTGTGTGTGTGTGCGCGCGCGTGTGCATGTGTATGTGTAAGAGTGAGTTGAGATTGCTTAAAGCACTGTGAAATTTCCTTGTGCTTCCTCCAATTCAATGTTGGTTCTGGCACATTGTCTATCTGCAGTAATTGTCCCTGAACCCTGTGTTGATATGCCTATTCGATATACTGCTCATACCATTGCATGTTGTAGTCCGGTTAACAGTCATTATTCATCCATTTTCTTCCCTTTAGGAACTGGTGAAACTGATTTATCTTGAGCAATCATGAATCTCATGAAGGAGCCCAGAGACTGTTTTGGGCAGTTGATACAAGAAGTGCAATATGGTAAACAAACAAGAGCATCAGCCCTCATCATCTACACAAAATTCCTCTTCCATTAAGACCTTGGATGAGACATTCTCTGTAATAGTAGAGGATATATTTTGCTACCCTATTCTTTCTGCTTTCTACCTTACCTAACATTAATAATCAGGGAACTATTGAACAAAATGATCTCTTTGTTTTCATTTATCAAGGAATCTTATGCTTTTTCTATATGAATAGGAAATCCTTTGTAGAGGAGAACCTTTAAGGCTACATTTTGCTCATCTTAAGACAAATGGAGTTGTGATTTTTTTTTGGGGGGGGTGTAATCTACAATACAGTAGGCTTTCCTTTGCTTCTTTGAGGCTATGATAATGAGTGATGTATGTATGTACATATATATATATATATGTATATATGTGTGTATATATATATTTGTAAGATGATCTGCAATGATTTTCCCATTTTAACCTCACAACAGCACTACTACATAGACAATACAGGTATTATCCTTATATGTGGAAACTGAGGTATAACAAGTTAAGTGACTTGCCCGTGGCATAGTAAGTATTAGATAAAGTTAGAGACTGGACCTGTAATTTCATTACCCTAGGAAACACCCAAGTGAGGAATAAGTGTCAGAGGCTAGATTCTGATCCATGTCTCTCTGAACCCAAGTCCCTCATCCAAACTGCCACACTTCTTTTCAATTGTGTGACTGTCTAGATGTAGTCTGCTAGAGAGAATCATTTGTGAAAGCCTGCCTGATTGTTATCTCCTGTTTTCATCAAGGGTAACTTCAATAATTCTTATATTTTATTAAAAATAAAAAAAATCATAGAGAAGAGAAGCTAGAAAATGTGAGCTATATTTATTAGATATTCTTACTTTATGAAAAGTTCACCCCAAAATGGACAGAATTTCACCAGTTGTCTAAAATGGAAAAATATTGGTATTTTTAAAACTTTTCTATTTGGCAAGGCTTTAAAATTTTTTATTTTAAAGCATATGTCCAGATTGGGAGCATCAGCTAATGTCATTTAGAATATTTAAAGAAAAATAGATTAATGGAAACTGGACCTTTACATTTGTTTTAAAGACTACATTGATGAGATATAGGTAGAATATCAACCGAGAGCAGGAAATTAACTTTTAAAAAAATTGAATGCTAGGCAATTAGCATGATGCTTTGTAATGTTTCTTGCTAGACCAAAATAAGAAAGGTACTAAAATTTAAAATCTACATAGAGATTTTTTTTAAAAGGAATAATTAATGATCCATTAAGCAAGATTTCCTAAAATTTCCTCATTTCCTTTAGAAATGCCTACTTCTTAAAAGTCACAAATAAAAGACTAGACCTGATATCTTCCCTGTTGTACATTTCCAATGCTAAAAGCATTCCAGGTTTTGTTAGTTGCCCAAATTATTTTCACAGCAAAGGGTTGTAAGGAAATGAAAGGTCATGACTTCTCTGAATCTCACCAAATCTCAGATAGAAAAAATTCTACTTTACTGCGCGTATTTGATACAATATGTGATTCTTTTGTAAGTACAGTTCTTGCTCATGCTCAGGGCAATATTTCTCCTAGAAAATCTTGTTTTATTGAAAGATAACAAATCAACTGAAGATGTCCTTTTGGGAGATGTATGGAATTCTTTTATTCTTAATATGAAATCACTCCATCAGAGCAATGAAAGCGAAAAAAATTCAAGAAGAATTTCCCCACTTCAATCCCTAATGGACAATTGGGACTCTCTTTACCTAATAACAGCACTGAAACATGTATGTTAAGGAAAAAGATGGAGGTGCTAGTCTTCCTAGCAGTTGTTAAATGGGAGGGGGAGAGAAAATAGTCACAAACTACTTCCTGAATGGCCTAATAAAACAAATGTGGACTCAACTTTTTAGCTTATAAGAAAATGCATTGCCCTTTTGGTTGAAAAAGTGACCTTTTGAGAGTAGTATTTCCTTTGGCATACCTACTATAAATCTTGGCTACAGTTCATACTGTATATATTATCTTTCCACACGCATTGAGAAGGATTGGTTTCCCAGTAGAGTTAGAAATAGGACATGATTGCTACAATGCTACAAGCCTTACCCTGATGAGGAATCGGAGAGATGGCTTGGCCCACACTATGGCTATGGGATGTAATGCCAATTGCGAAGGACTGACATATTCTGAGAAGGAGCTCAGCAATATCCTAGGGACAGAGGAATTTTGTTTAAAATTATATTTTACTCTCAGATTTTATAGACAAAGCAAAGTCTATGCTCAGTAAGTATATGGATAGATCTTAATGTTAAACCAGGGCTCATATAACATTTATGATTCTTCATTTTTTGCCATTAATTTTCCATTGCAATACTCAATATACTTTTATCACAAGCAAAGAAAAATAAAATAGCCCTGTTATAGCTACTTAAAATGCTACAGCTTTTCAAAATATGCTATGTTCTTAAGTACCTGACTTATTCAAGTGGGGCAATCTATTCAAATCCTGGGAAGAGCTATGTTGGGATAGGATGAACAGATTACAAACAATAAAGAATTCCGTCAACTGATTGCTTCCATCTGAATTCAAGTTCAGTATTAAATTATATCCCCTATCACCCTTTGAAATTAAGACTGTTAGATGGTACTAGGAATACATTGAAAAGAGTGAGTGATAGAGGTAACCCAGTGTTGGAATTTGAGAAAGGATGAACTGTGAAGCATGAGAGGAAGGGGGGAAATAAAGGATTTAAAGGTAAGGGGCAATATAAAGTTGAACTAGCAATGATTTGAATGAAAGAAAGTGAATCCAGTGTAGGGATGTTATAGGAACAACATCTACCCTCATGTAGAGTAAGCTACTTTGTCCTTACAAGATGTTGATATTGGGGCAGCGAAGTGGCACAGTGGATAGAGCACCGGCCCTGAAGTCAGAAGGACCTGAGTTCAAATTTGACCTCAGACCAAACACTTGACACTTATTAGCTATGTGACCCTGGACAAGTCACTTAACCCCAACTGCCTAAAAAAAAAAAGATATTGATACTGTCCACAAGACTTAATTCATCCAGGTAATTAAGACTTGAAACATTATGTAACTTTCTTGTCACCTCACTACAAAAGTCAGGTAGGAGAAGTCAGTGGCTCCTCTCAGGCTTGGCGAACCCTTCTGACCAGTGCCACCAGAGCAAATTTGGAGGCAGGGAGTCTGCATCTAATTGAATCAATGCTCTGTCCATTCCATGTGGTTTCTGATGAAACTTTCTTTTATTTACTGTCAAATGGCCTCTTATTGTCCATTTTATCTTAATTAGGAACTTAGACTAACAGACTGGCCTAAATCAGAGCTAGAAAAAGGGGTAATAGCCTGAGAAAGCAGATAGAGGTGTAGTGACTAGAGATTGTAGATGAAGATGGAGAAAAGAAATGAAAATTGGGTTTTCATTACCACCTCCCATCACCTATAAGAGCTTTATCAAATTAGAAACAACAATAGCTTTATCAATATCATTCATATGGCAGTTCCAAGTATTATTCCTTAGGTTAAGGGCATGGATTGAGTTGGAGGAGAACCTTGAGATTCATTTAGGCTAAATCCCTCATTTTATAGATGAGCAAACTGAGGCCCAGACAAGAGGATTGTTTGGGGCTACCAGGGATATGAGGATAATAAAGTGACTGCAAAATAATTACCTGTATATATTCTGTTAGCCAACCTCATTCATTTCTCTCAGCTGTATTTTTAATGGTATTTTAAAAATGGTTCAAAGGAACTAGGAGCTTGGAAGTTGGAGGGCCCAAAGAAGATAATTAGGGGTACAAAAGACAAATTATCTATGACACAAATTTGCCCATTTGTTTGAGGGTAATTTAGATATTGTCCTACCAGGGACTAAGGAATGGACAAGTTAACCTTTCCAAAGGGTAACATAATTATGACTCCCTGACATTTTACATCTTTCCCCTTCTCTCTAATATGCCAGTTCACAATGTGTTCAATCCCTAAAGAATGTCTGGAGTAGTTTCATCTTGTGGCACCAAGCTAAGGCTGTGACATCTTCCAGCTGAGCTCTACTTTCTTGCTAGCTAGGCAGTTTTAATACATGAAGTGAGTAGAATCAGGTACAAATTAAGGAAAGCAATTAGATATTAGCAGATCATTGCCAGCACTAGAAGCTGTCTAATCATACCTGGTTTACAGAAATTGTTCCTCCTGTGCCATTATTCTTTGTCATTGTTGTCTGATAATCAGCGGCAGCAATGGAACAACCCATACAATGAGGCTTCTACTTTGTATTTCATTAGTCTTTCACTGCAAGCAAGTGGAGACCCTAAATGGTAAGTTAATTATTTCTTTACTGCTGTACTTCCCTAGGGTATATTATGTCATGGCTAACACTGATACATTAGGATAGGCACATTATGGTGGTTGCCAACTACAACGCTGTTTTTTTTTTCAAATATCCACAAGACAAAGTCTACTTTTCCCTCACAATATGTTTCCTTCAGTATCCTCTACAGTAAGCTTGCTTCTGAAAGAATAATTTTCAAATATTGAAGCATCTGTTGGCTCATGCTCAAAAAGTAAAGACAAGAAAGAAATGAGCATCCACCAGGAATATTAAGTTTGTATGAGGGTGTCTTGACAAGGCAATGTATGTGATGGAAAGCATGTTGGTCCTGATTCGGACCATCCTGAATTTGAATCCTGCCTCAAACACTGCATGGGTGTGTGACTATAGGCAAGTCGCTCAGTTTCCATTTCCTCATCTTAAAAACAGAGATAATAAAAAATGTAGCACTTAACAATTAATCTCTATATCTTATATTGTAATGTACTGCGAGAGTGCACATGCACTGTATGCTACAAACAAAACCCAGCAGGAGGAAGAAAAAAATTCCACACAAAACAAATATAAATTGCATAAAATACCTGGAAGGTAACCAACCAAGGCACAATCAGGTATTAGATGATCAAAATTATTAAACAATTTTTATAGAATTAAGGGGAAAAAAACTTGAAAAGATTTTCATTGTTCAATTTAGGGCTGTATCAATGCGATATACAGTGATGATAAATTTATACATTAAAGACATATCAATCCAACTACCAACAAGTAGTTATAGATACAGAAAAATAACAGTAAAATGCATCTGTATGGGACGATAAGTTTAAGTATCTAAATGAAAATGATGAAAAAGGAATGAATGAATTGGAGGTTAGCTTTGTCAAATTGCACACTAAACTATAAAGCAGTAACCATCAACATTATATAACCATGGTTAGAAACAACAAAAATTGATCAGTAAATTTATAGGCATTTTGGGTACCTACTATATGTTAGGCCAGGTATTGGGAATATAAAAACAAATGAATCATTTCCTAGATCAGTAGAATAGACTAGACAATCAAAAACTAGTGAAACACAGGAGTCTAGAGTTTGATAAGCCCAATGAAACCAATTGCTGGGGTAAAGATTGCCAGGATCACAAAATCACATGGAAAAACTAGACAATATCATGTCAGAGGCTAGATTAAAACCAACTTCTTTCACCATATACCACAATAAGCTCCCCTTTGAAATGGAAAGTTAAAGGCAGGTGGAAGTTACATCACAAAAAATACATATTTGAGAATAATGGAATGGGGTACCTTACAAAACTATTCCTGAGGAAGAGTTCTTAACTAAACAAAAGACAGGGGTAATCACATGCAACTAATAAAATATGTCTATGGTCATTGATTTGGGAGTTTCCCCACAATATTGCAAATCATAACCCATCCATGCCTACCTATCCTATGTGACTTGTCATTTCCCAAAAGTTTGCCACAGACAAATGTAATTAATGTATTAGAGGCCTTCCTTAATTTTTTCTAATGTTGCAAGGGTACCAACAGAGTGTTCTTGCTGTCTACCTAACATCACTTATCCCATGCACATGATCAGCCCAATCTCTCTGCCTATAATAAAATTCCTTGAAGTCCTTTATGCTTTTTTGTCTGCAAAGTTCCTCACTGATTATATGTTGCAGACTGCTTGCCGCAACCACGTTCTTCTCTGATATTTACCGTTAGTTCATTATCACTAAGCTAGAATTCAATAAGTTCCTACTATGTGCTAGACACTGTGCTGAGCACTGAGTATGCAAAGAATGAGGAAAAAATTATGCTTTTTTTCAAAGAGCTCGATACTAGTAGGATGTTAAGATTGAAAAGAAGGGCCTCTGCTTTAATAGTAAGCTTGGGGTGGGGTCAGTAAATGTGCTTTGAAATTTTTTAAAACAAATCAGCCTACCACATTCAGCTCATTGTCCATCTGTACTATCTCTTCCAAATGGACACATTTACTTGGACAAACTTAATACGAAGTCACACGAGAACAGGAACACCTGGAGGACTTCGTTATTCTCTTTTCAACCTGGGCTTCAACCTTCTTCATCACAATAGTAAATATAAATCTTCCACCTTTATATTCTGCCTCAAAAAACGAAGATGGGAATACATAATTTAACACCATTGGTTGTCTCAATCCTCTAAATATTGAAGAACTTCCTGAAAGACATTTATAATCTCTCAAAGGAATTTGGCCTAACCATCCACATGGAACAGAGAAAGTGGATGAAGAATTTCTAATGCCCAATTATCTACATGCATTTAAATTTCATCCACAAGACCATTAGAGTTAAAATTCTGTGCATCACACAAGAACACTGACTGTTAAAGAGTGAATTTTGTCCCTCTCGTTCGCCTATCTGCAATACTATTCATCAGGTATTTCTAGAATTTTTTTTGTTTGTTTTTTTAAATTTTAGGCAAATGCTGAAACTTAAATACATAATAAGAGAAAAACATGATAAATATAAAATAAAAAAGACATGCCATGTGCACAGCAGAACATAGGAGAGAATTCAAAATATATAGCAATAGCTCTTCATTTCAAGAAAGAAATTTTCAAAAAATTACTTCTTTGTAGGTTTTCTTTTGTTCTCTACTGTATACTTTTTACTTTGTTCTCTTTTCCCCCACTTACTCCCCACTACCTGCTACCCCAGGGCTACAATTGAATGTGGATATATTTATACATAAGCGTTAATATATACATATATGTATACATACATACATGTATACATACACATAACTTTTCCCTAAGAGATTCTACTCCTAATCTTCATT